AGCTGCTGTGGTCTCACTAAATCTTTTCCTTGATTTCACATCTAATAAGACTATAGATTTTTATCCAAGTCTTAAGTGCCACAGATGGAGCTAAGTGGATCCTTGGCTGAAGCAAAAAGGATTAATGGGGAAAATTCAGTCATTGCCACTTCTTTCTTCCATGTGTTAACTCCCCTCCAGTTTATCTACTTTGTTGATATCTAGCCTTCAGTATGCTGCCCAGAATTTATAATTGGTATTTGTGAGTGACATCTGTTTGTACAACTGGAGATACCACTACTGAAGGAGTTCCTCAACTAGTGAACACAGGACTCCAACAACATAACATTACTCTAAAGAGAAAAAGAACTTTAAACAAATACTGAACTATAGTTACATTTCTTTAATGTGATGGTATGGTTAACAATTCTGAAACTGTGGGTACAATGAGGACTAGACAAATGAATACAAATAAATTGGGGAAAGGCCGGGCTTGGTGGCTCACGCCTGTAATCAGAGCACTTTGGGAGGCTGAGGCAGGTGGATCACCTAAGGTCAGGAGTTCCAGACCAGCCTGGCCAACATGGCAAAATCCCATCTCTACTAAAAATATAAAAATTAGCTGGGCACAGTGGTGCACACCTGTGGTCCCAGCTACTTAGGAGGCTGAGGCAGGAGAATCGCTTGAACCCAGGAGGTGGAGGTTGCAGTGAGCTGGGATGGTGCCACTGCACTCCAGCCTGGGTGATAAAACGAGACTCCATCTCAAGAAAATAAAAAAATAAAAATAAATAAATAAATTGGGGATAGGCCAGGCGCAGTGGCTCACACTTGTAATCCCAGCACTTTGGGAGGTCGAGGCAGGCAGATCATGAAGTCAAGAGATCAAGACCATCCTGGCCAACATGGTGAAATCCCGACTCTACTAAAAATACAAAAATTAGCTGGGTGTGGTGGCGCGTGACTGTAGTCTCAGCTACTCGCTAGACTGAGGCAGGAGAATCGCTGGAACCTGGGAGACAGAGGTTGCAGTGATCTGAGATCACACCACTGCACTCCAGCCTGGCAACAGAGTGAGACTCCATCTCAAAAATAAATAAATAAAAACATAAAAATAAATAAATTGGGGATAATAGGAACCAGGTTTCTTTCTGTTGGAGAAAGAAGTTAAAAATATGAAAAGGGGAAGTCTAGAAAGAAGACTGTGGAATTGAATTAAAATTAAAAGTATCAGTATCAACTCATGAAAATATAAAACATATTATTAGCTTTCTCTGTGAAAGAGCTTGGAAACAAAGACATCTTGGTGGCAATGAGCACATCACACACCCTGATCTTGATTTCCAAACACTATATCCCACTAAAAGAAATCAGAACTCCTGGGAAAAATAACTGATTCTGGGGCTGGGGAACAGCAAATGGAAAGCAAGCTTTGAATACTTTGAGGGGACAGAAAGAAAGAAAGTGTTCAAGAAATGATGAGGACTTGTAAAAAGGTCAGCGGGAGCCATCCAGATGGGGTTCCTACTAGCCAAAACTGATGCAATTTGAGCATCAAAATAAATAATGACAGAGAATATTCATGGAAAAATTGTAAGTACATACTGATACAAATAACTGAATAGGTTAGAACATGAACCCCTCCCTTACAATAATATATCAACTCATAAACACAGAAGGAAAGACAGATTAGAACATCATCATTTTGAACCCATCATAGGAATAAATTATTCAGCTAAGAATCACAAACGTGTGCTGTGATAAACAGACTTTCTAGGAATGGCCCACAAGATTCTACACCACTAATCCCCAGAAACGATCAATGTGATGACATATCACTCCCATAACTGTGTTATGTAATATAGCACAGTTGATCTTAAACTCGACAGATAACCAGGAGGAGATGAGAGGGAGGGGGACCTAATCTAATCACATGAATCCTTAAAAACAGAAAAATTTCTCCAGCTGGTAGCAGGTGGCTGCAGAATTAGCAAGCAAATAGCTAAGTCAAAGAGCTTCAAAGCTTGAGAGAGACTTGATGTGCTGTTGCCAGTTTTGAAGATGGAGGGCATCATGTGAGAAGAAATGAAGACACCTGAAAAGAGCTAGGAGGGGGTCCTGCCCAATAGTGAGTGAGAAAGAAGGACTTCCAACCTATCATCATAAGGAACTGAATTCTGCCAACAACCTGAATTGAGCTTAGGAATGGATTTTTCTACAGTCTCCAGAAAGGAACCTAGTCCTACTAACATCTTGACTTTGACCTTGTGATACCCTGAGAAGGGTCCAGCAAGGCCCAAAGGACTCCAAACCTACAGAACTGTAAAATAACAAATCTGAGTTACTTTAAGCTGCAAAGTTTGTGGTCATTTGCAAAAGAAAACATAACTGAGTTAAGTTTTGATAATAAAAAGAATACCTTAGTAATCTCAAAGTGCCCCCCATTAAATTAGTTATTAGTTACAATGGAATACATCATAACTTTATACTGGGTTTATCTAGCAAACACAACCATAACCAAACAACCTAAGTTGACATCACTAGTAAAGGAGCAAATCACATCATGTGCCATGTAATAGGATGCATGGAGAACAGAACATCACTTTATGTAGTATTCCTGCCAAAAATATATAACCTGAATCCAATCACAACTAAACAGATAATCCCGAGGGCCATTCGACAAAGTAATACACCTATACATTTTTAAAAAAGTCATAGTCCCAAAAGGCAGACAAACTGCTTCAGATTTTTAAAAGACCAAAGAAACATGACTACTAAATCTTGAACTTGATCCTGAATTTAAGGGGGAAAAACTTATCTATGAACATTACTGGGGGAATTGATCACATAAGAACGGGGACTGTGGCTTAAATAACTTCATGTTATTTACTTTACCTACCTATTTAGCTTTCCCATTCTTACTACTCATTACTTCCTGTATTTTGGTGTTGCCATTTCAAATTATTTTCCTTCTCATTTCAGAAAACCTGTAATTTCCTCTAGTATAGTTATTCACTCTAGTGTAGATTTGTTGACATCAAGTTCTCACTTTTTGTTTGCCCAGATATGGCTTGATTCCACCCTTCATTTATGAAAGATGTTTTCACTGAATATATAGTTCTATGCTGGCAATTACAATCACATGCTGCATAAAGACATTTCACTCAATGACTGACCACATATACATCGGTGGTCCCACAAGATTGTAATACTGTATTTTTACTGTACCTTTTCTATGTTTCCATGTGTTTAGATACACAAATATTTACCATTGTGTTCCAATTACCTACAGTATTCAGTACAACAACATGCTGCACAGGTTTGTAGCCTATGAGCAACAGGCTATAACATATAGCCTACGTGTGTAGTAGCCTATGTAAGTACACTCCATAATGTTTGCACAATGACAAAATCATCCAACAATGCTTTCTCAAAAAAACATATCCCCATAGTTAAGTGATGCATAACTGTATTTTTCTTTGATATTTTAAAGAAATCATTTCGTTTTTATCTGCCTTCTATCATTTCTGTTGTTAAGTGAGCTGCCAGTATTACTGTTATTCCTTTGAAAATAATATTTTTTTTCCTCTGGCTACTTAAGAGATTTTTCTCTTGGTTTATGTTCTTTAGGAGTTTGGCTATGACATGCCTAGCTGTAGTTTTCTTTATATTTATCCTGCTCAGGGTTCACAAAACTTCTTGAATCTCTAGTTCGATGTCTTTCATCACTTTTTAGAAAATGCTCAGCCCGCATCTCTTCAAACTGGACTTTTAACCAATTTTCTTTCTTCCTTCTAGAACTCTAATTACACATATAGTTGAACTTTTCACTATAACTCTCTTGTACTTTTTTTGTACATATCGTGTGTGTCTGTGTGCACGTGTATTGTAGTTACCCTTGAAAACCTGAAAATGCTAACTGTTGCATGATACAAAATGTTTTTTAAAAAAGGGAACCAGGTACAATGGCTCTTGCTTATAATTTCAGCTACTCAGGAGGCTGAGGCAGGAGAATCATTTGAGGCTAGGAAGTTCAAGACCAGTCTGGACAACATAGCAAGACCATGTCTCTAAAAAATTTTTTTTTGAAAATTAACCAGGCATGGTGGCACACACCTGTATTCCCAGCTACTGGGGAGGGTGAGGTGAGAAGATTGCTTGAGCCCAAGGAGTTTGAGGCTGCAGTGAGCTATGATCACACCACTACACTCCAGTCTGGGTGACAGAGTAAGACCTCGTCTCTAAAAAAAAAAAAAAATCTTTTTAAAGAGAGACAGAGACAGGGACGTAGAGAGGAGGTGTTAAGTGGTTTTATTTAAAAAAATAAATACACCAAATCTACTCAGGGATATTATCAAACAACATAAAAATTTAACTCTTATGTTGGGTGCGATGGCTCATGCCTGTTATCCTAGCACTTTGGGAGGCCAGTGAGGGCGGATCACTTGAGTTCCAGACCAGCTTGTACTAAAAATACAAAAATCAGTCGGACATGGTGGCAGATGCCTGTGATCCCAGCTACTCAGGAGGCTGAGGCAAGAGAACAGCTTGAGCCCAGGAGGCGGAAGTTGTAGTGAGCCAAGATCATGCCATTGTACTCCAGCCTGGGTGACAGAGCGAGACTCCATCACAAAAATAAAAATAAAAATTTAACTCCTAATACATGAATAATTGCTAGGATAAAACATTCCTGTACTACTCCTGCCTCTTCTAATATTATTTTTTCACCATCAACATTGACTAGCCATTCTATAACACATTTCCATTACAAATAAAACCATAAGTGCTTCCTTTTCTAAGCTTTCTATAGTCATACTCACCAAAATTAAAATCTCCTATATCAGATATAGCTAAGATACATAATAGGGGCTTCTATAAAGCTTGCTAATCTGTCATTTTTCACAAACTGAAATCTTCTAAAAGCTGCTCCCTGAATAAAATAAATGGTTACCTCCATAAGTGTAAAAAAAAAAAAAATAGAAAAAAGACTAGAAGATATAGCACATTCTTTTTCAATTTACCTGTGTTTTGATTCATTGCAAGTCGTGGAGGAGAACTTGTTTCTTCAGATTCTTCTGATGAGTGTGCAAGGAAGTCATGAAGCTTCTGCACCAATGTATTCAACTTGCTTTCACTATTAAAACAAAATTTAAAGAATTCCCTTAATTAGCCTTTCATGTTTTAAATTAATTGTAAAGCTCTAGCAAACTGAAAATATAGCCATACTGTAAGTCGTGTAAGAGTATGCACATTCAAAGTAAAAACTAAGGGAAATGTTACAGCTGTGGGTGTAGAAAGAAAAAATATTAAAGAAAACGAATTTTAGGCTGGGTGTGGTGGCTCATAATAGAGCACGGTGGCTCATGCCTGTGGGTCTCAGCTACTCAGGAGGCTGAGGTGGGAGGATGGCTTGAGCCCTGTGAGGCAGAGGTAGCAGTGAGCTGAGATCATGCCACTGCACTCTAGCCAAGGCAACAGAGTCAGACACTGTCTCAAAAAAAAAAAAACAAGAATTTTATTTCACTAAGGATATAAAAATATGAGTAACACAACCTACCTGTACACTTACCTAGGATTAAAATATCATTTAAGGAAACTGCTATTACTTACTAAACATTTCAAAAATACTGAGGTCTTTCAATGTACTCTATATGCTGTTTTTAAACAGAAGTTAAACTTTGTGTTACTTTGTGTTACTTAAAAATGTATCAGAAAATGCTACCCTTAAGTTAATTCTTAACAAACAATAAACCTACCTACCACAAAAGAATTTTAAAAGAAATCAAAAGAAAATTTGGGGGATTAAGCAGCAAAAAGGTATTCATATTTAAATTATATCCATTCCTATTTCACAACAAATAGCTGATCCTTATACTTATCTTGTCATATTACCATTAGGTACCTAAGTTATTATTTCCTCTCACTTGTATATAGCTTATATTTGGAAAATCCTTAGAAATCAAAACATAGATGTAGAATATCACTTCAAGAAAGATTTATACTAGCCAACACCCAGAAAAAGAGAGGTTAAGATTTTCCTTTCCATCATTTAATAAAAATAATTCAGTAATTTATCAAATACATATACAGAACACTTACTCTCTGAAAGGCCTAAGCAGTGTTTTGGTTTAGTATTCTATCCTCTGCTTGACACAAAAGAACTGTATAAGAGACTGGCATAAAGATGAACAAAACATAGAAGAGGACTCGCAAGAGCTCCATCGCCCAGGGAAATATTTCCTTAACTAAGTTTTATAGCATCAACTCTTAAGTTACATAATAGATGTATCAGTAATTCAACAGGGTTTTAAGGAGTTAAAACTTTAAATAAGGAAAGTATAAGTTTACCCCATTTTTTTTCCTTAGAGTTAGCCTCTTGCTCTGTCACACCAGCTTGAGCACAGTGGCGTGACCTTGACTCACTGAGGCCTCAAACTCTTGGGCTAAAGCGATCCTCCAGCCTCAGCATCTTGAGTACCTATCGCACACACCTATGCTCTTAGTTGAGGAATTGTGGCACACAACTATACTCTTAGCTAAACTTTTTCTTTAATTTTTTGTAGAGATGGGGTCCAGTTATGTTGCCCAGGATGATCTGAAACTCCTGGCCTCAAGAAATCCTCCGACCTCAGCCTCCCAAAGCATTGGGACGACGGGTGTGAGCAACCATGCCCAGGACCATTTTTAATAAAAGTCAAAACTTTTGCATGTCAAGGGGCACCATCAAGAAAGTGAAAAGACAATCAATACAATGAGAGAAAACGATTTTCAAATCCTATATCTCATGAGGGTCTGGTAACCAGAATACAAAAAGAATTCTTACAATTAAAAACAAAAAGACAACTCAATTTTTAAAAGGGGTAAAAGACTTAGATATACATTTCTCAAAACAATATATACAAACGACCAATAAGCACATGAAAAAATGCTCAAGATCATTAGTCATATCAGGGAAATGCAAATCAAAACCACAACAAGAAACCAATTTATACTTAGTAGGATGGATATAATAATTTTAAAAACAAATTAAAGACATACATAGGCTCAAAATAAAGGGATGGAGGAATATTTACCATGCAAATGGAAAGCAAAAAAACAACCAGGGGTTACAATTCTAGTCTCTGATAAAACAGACTTTAAACCAACAAAGATCAAAACAGACAAAGAAGAATGTTACATAATGGTAAAGGGATCAATGCAACAAGAAGAACTAACTATCCCAAATATACATGTACCCAATACAGGAGCATCCAGAATCATAAAGCAAGTTCTTAGAGACCTACAAAGAAACTTAGACTCCCACACAATAATAGTGGGAGACTTTAATACCCCACTGTCAATATTAGACAGACGGACGAGACGGAAAATTAACAAGGATACACAAGACTTGAACTCACCTCTGGACCAAGCAGACCTAAGAGAACTCTCAACCCCAAAGCAACAGAACATACATTCTTATCAGCACCTCATCGCACTTATTCTAAAATTGACCATATAATTAGAAGTAAAATACTCCTAAGCAAATGCAAAAGAACAGAAATCATACCAGTCTCTCAGACTATAATGCAATCAAATTAGAACTCAGGGTTAAAAAACTCATTCAAAATCGCACAACTACATGGAAACTAAACAACTTGCTCCTGAATGACTACTAGGTAAATAACGAAATTAAGGCAGAAATAAAGAAGTTCTTTGAATCCAATGAGAACAAAGAGATAACGTACCAGAATTTCTCGGACAAATTTAAAGCAGTGTGTAGAGGAAAATTTATAGCACTAAATGCCCACAAGAGAAAGCAGGAAACATCTAAAATCGACACCGTAACATCACAATTAAAAGAACTAGAGAAGCAAGAGCAAACAAATTCAAAAGCTAGCAGAAGACAAGAAATAACTAAGATCAGAGAAGAACTGAAGGAGACAGAGACAGGAAAAACCCTTCAAAATATCAATGAATTCAGGAGCTGATTTTTTGAAAAGATCAACAAAACAGACCACTATCCAGACTAATAAAGAACAAAAGAGAGAAGAATCAAATAGACGCAATAAAAAATGATAAAGGGGATATCAACCACTGATCCCACAGAAATACAAACTACCATCAGAGAATACTATAAGCACCTCTATGCAAATAAACTAGAAAATCTAGAGGAAATGGATAAATTTCTGGACATACACACCCTCCCAAGACAAAACAAGGAAGAAGTTGAATCCCTGAATACACCAATAAAAAGTTCTGAAGTTGAGGCAGTAATTAATAGTCTACCAATCAAAACAAGTCCAGGATCAGACAGATTCAAAGCCAAATTCTACCAGAGGTACAATGAGGAGCTGGTACCATTCCTTCTGAAACTATTCCAATCAATAGAAAAGGAGGGAATCCTCCCTAACTCATTTTATGAGGCCATCATCATCCCGATACCAAAACCTGGCAGAGACACAACAAATAAAGAAAATTTCAGGCCAACACCTCTGATGAACATCGATGTGAAAATCCTCAACAAAATACTGGCAAACCGAATCCAGCAGCATATCAAAAAGCTTATCCACCACGATCAAGTCGGCTTCATCCCTGCGATACATGGCTGGTTCAACATATGCAAATCAATAAACATAATCCATCACATAAACAGAACCAATGACAAAACCACATGATTATCTCAATAGATGCAGAAAAGGCCTTCAATGAAATGTAACACCCCTTCATACTAAAAACTCTCAATAAACTAGGTACTAATGGAACATATCTCAAAATAATAAGAGCTATTTATAACAAACCCACAGCCAATATCATACTGAATGGGCAAAAACTGCAGGCATTCCCTTTGGAAACCGGCACAAGACAAGGATGCCCTCTCTCACCTCTCCTATTCAAAGCAATATTGTAAGTTCTGGTCAGGGCATTAAGGCAACAGAAATTCAATCAGGAAAAGAGGAAGTCAAATTGTCTCTGTTTGCAGATGACATGATTGTATATTTAGAAAACTCCATCGTCTCAGCCCAAAATCTCCTTAAGCTGATAAGAAACTTCAGCAAAGTCTCAGGATACAAAATCAATGTGCAAAAATCACAAGTATTCTTATACACCAATAACAGACAAACAGAGAGCCAAATCATGAGTGAACTCCCATTCACAATTGCTACAAAGAGAATAAAATACCTAGGAATACAACTTACAAGGGATATGAAGGACCTCTTCCAGGAGAACTACAAACTACTGCTCAAGGAAATAAGAGAGGACACAAATGGAAAAACATTCCATACTCATGGATAGGAAGAATCAATATCATGAAAATGGCCATACTGCCCAAAGTAATGTATACATTCAATGCTATCCCCATCAAGCTACCACTGACTTTATTCACAGAATTGGAACAAACTACTTTAAATTTCATATGGAACCGAAAAGGAGCCTGCAGGGTCAAGACAATCCTAAGCAAACAGAACAAAGCTTGAGGCATCATGCTACCTGACTTCAAACTATACTGCAAGGCTACAGTAACAAAAACAGCATGGTACTGGTACCAAAACAGATATATAGACCACTGGAACAGAACTGAGGCCTCAGAAATAACACTACACATCTACAACCATCTGATCTTTGACAAACCTGACAAAAACAAGCAATGGAGAAAGGACTCCCTATATAATAAATGGTGTTTGGAAAACTGGCTAGCCATATGCAGAAAACTGAAGCTGGATCCCTTCCTTACACCTTAAACAAAAATCAACTCACGATGGATTAAAGACTTAAACGTAAGACCTAAAACCATAGAAACCCTGGAAGAAAACCTAGGCAATACCATTTAGGACATAAGCATGGGCAAAGACTTCACAATTAAAATATCAAAAGCAATGGCAGCAAAAGCCAAAATTGACAAATGGGATCTAATTAAACTAAAGAGCTTCTGCACAGCATATATATATACACATATATATATATATATAAACATAATAAAACATAATTTTTATAATATATATAAAATAGATATATATATAAAATCAGAGTGAACAGGCAACCTACAGAATGGGAGAAAATTTTTGCAATCTATCCATCTGACAAAGGGCTAATATCCAGAATCTACAAAGAACTTAAACAAATTTACAAGAAAAACACAAACAACCCTAACAAAAA